ATTGCCATTTCTCACGCCCGGAATCAGAATGTTGAGTGGCCCTGCTTAGTAGTCGATTCCTCTCTGTCTCCCCTCCTGATTCCTCAACAGTCATAATCTGGTGCATGATCATAGTCCTCTGAGCGACTCGACTGGTTCTCAGCTCCTGCTCCTGCTCCTGCTCCTGCTCCTGCTCCTGCTCCTGCTCCTGCTCCTGCTCCTGCTCCTGCTCCTGCTCCTGCTCCTGCTCCTCCTCCTCCTCCTCCTCCTCCCCTCCCCTTCCTCCTCTTTCGCCCTCCAGTGCTTCGGTTTCTTCATTTCCTTCTCCACTCTCTTCACCCCTCTTCTTTCCTCCACTCATCAGTTTTCTCCCTGCAGTCTTTACCCCTCTCTCTCTCCATCAGCGTCCCTCTCCTGCTACTTCTACTGTCTCTTCCTCCATCTTCTACTGATTCTTGTTGCTGTGTTCTCTTCACCCTGACTTCTCTTTCTTTTCAGAGAAAAGCGCAAAAGCAACTAGAGAAAACCATTCCTCGCATGTTTAGAGGAGGCACAATATACGAGGTACTCCTCCTCTTCCTCCTCCTCCCAACCAGCCCACCTCTTGCTCCTCCCCCGCCTCCTCCTCCCTCGATCTTGCTCCTGTTCTTCCCCTTCTGACTCGTCTCTCCTCCTCCATTTTCGTCTTTTACCTTCTCCTTTTTGTGTTGCACTTCGTTCCTCTGATCCTGGCACATCGAGCAGGACAGAATTGACCCTGGAGGATAAAAATCTTTATTTTCCTCATCCTCGTCCTCGTCCTCGTCCTCGTCCTCGTCCTCGTCCTCGTCCTCGTCCTCGTTTTTAGCGGCTGATTCAGTGGATGAACCACTGGGAAGGGAGGGCAGGGATCCAACAGCGCTTGCTCCGCTCCTCCTGCAAGCATATGACTCCCCACCCTCCCGCACAGCAAGTGCTACCTCCTCCTCCTCCTTGTCCTCCTCCTCCTCCACAGTCCTTGCAGAAGGAATCCAGTCGGGCAGAGGAAGCTCGAGCAGTTGGGAGGCGACGAGACTGAGCATGATCTGTCCTCCTAGATCTTCCCGCGCTCTCTCGATTGCTCGCTTGTCTCCTATTCAACTTTCAGCCTCCTGCTCTCTCCCCTGCCCCCTCCCTCTCCTCCTCTCACCCTCTCCTGTTCTCCTCTTCTATCCTTTTGCATCCTTCCCTACCATCCCCTGCACCTCGCCACTCCTCACCACGATCTCCTCGTCCTTCTTCCTCCCCTCCTCCTCCCCTCCTAGTCTCACCTTGCGCACCCCCGGCTGACTTGGAAGGAGGACGCGGACGAGAACGCGGGACGTCTCCTCCTGCTCTGGACGAGCTGGGACTTTCCTGAGGGACATCGCGAGAGGCGGATGGGGAAGGGGAGGAGAGAGCAGGAGGGTCCTGCTGGGGCCGAGCTGCCGCCTCGTGCAGGGCTGGGGCTGCAGAGGATGGGACGCGCAGCTGCTTGGCGGGGGGAAGACCTTCCGCCTCCTCTGAGTTCTGAGAGAAGATTGAGTTAGGGGGCCGGTAACCGTGAGAGGACGGGGGGAGGAGGGAGAAGGCACGAGAAGCTGAGAAGCTCTGAGACTGGACAGGGACGTTGGCAAGTAGAGGCGAGGAGGGAGGGAGGGAAGGAGGGAGGAGGGGTTCGTAGGACTGATGGTTGGGGGGGAGTTGGTAGTCTCACCCTCGCTCTCTTGCCCTCCTGTACATTCACGTGTGAAAGTTCGTCCGGCGCGCGAGAAACAGAAACGTCGGATGACTGCAAAACAACGTGAGGAGAGGGAAGAGGGGAAGGAGGAAGAGGAGGAGGCGGCACGAGAAGAGCAGGAGAGAAGAGGAAGACGTGTCTCGTGGGGTGGAAAGGAAAAAGGAGGAAGAGAGGGAGGGAGAAGGCGAACGAGGAGGAGGAGGAGGAGGAGGAGGAGGAGGAGGAGGAGGAGGAGGAGGAGGAGGAGGGAAGGAGAGTG